ATATAATCTGAAACAGAAAAAATTCAAAGCAGTACATTAACTTCATATCATTTTGAATACCTTTTTTCTTTTAGACATTGTCACAGTTTTTTACTATCATAATATTTTATAATTAATTAGATGTAGTAGGGATCAAGCTTTGAGGTCCTTCTTTGATTCGTAAATTTTACTTTGCTGTTTTCTAATTCCTTGGAGTTAACTGTTCACTGGTTTGATTTAAAAATCCAATATCTAATCGTTGTTTTTTAGTTAAAAATTCTATTTCATTGGATGGTACAATACTTTTTGTGTGTTACTTTTGTTACTAAGCGAGATATGTTTGACTTATTCAATTATTCAGTGTACTTTAAATTTAAATATTTTGGTAGGATTCCCCACTCGACCATTCACTGTTGGGTTCTAATTAACAGTGCTGTTCCTAAAGTGGCGCAAGGAAACAGTAACAAGGCCTGTCTGTAGGGGTGTAGGAGTATTAGAGTATTAATACTCCTGCACTATGGAGTATTAGACTACTAATACAATCCATAACCTACATAGAACACTAGGCTAATGACCTTAGATGTTGAAGCCGTACACCAAATAAAAAAAAACAAAAATTTAAATATTATTTTGTTATTGTGAAACGGACTGGTATGCGCTGATTTGTTGCGCACTAAACTGTTGATATAACGCGCATATGTTATAAGCCCCTGGTTCTTACAGTGATGAAAAGTGATTTGCAAGTAAACGCCTTCATTTGAATGTTTTTCATTATTTGTAGTTTCCTGGATGTGCTTGCAATATACATATAATATATTAGTTTTTATAGTCTATTTTTACTAATGTTTTTGTATGTACTTTTTCATTCACACAATGTTATTTGAATATCCGAAGCTCTCAGAGTTATTCTGCAGATTAACCATGAATTGTAATTTTTCTCCTAAGCATTAGTAGTAAATGGTTTACGGAAACAGTTATTAAATAGTGGGTCATTTTAGAGTTGATTATGATATTTTGTTGTTTTATTTTAGTATTGTATGTATAGATTAATCAATCGAGATTCTCATTAGAACCTAAAATAAATAGAAGTCATTTTATAGCCCGTCGTTTTGGTTAGATTTTCAATTATTTCAGTAATAATCGTGTTAATTGTAAACAGACTAATTGAATCGCCATGTTCAGTCTCTTGTGTTTAATTATATTTATCCAGCTGTGAGATGTCCTACTTTGATTTATAGGCTTAAGTGGTTAAATTTATTTAATGTGCACCGCAAGCTTTTGAGTCCTAAGGCAAAATAGGTTTATTGTTGTGCAATAAATTAGTTAATCTCTAAATAATTGTATACTGTATTTACTGCAAGAATTTGTTCAAATTTTAATATATTATTTTTTAGATAAACAGGGTGAGCTGTTAGAAGGATTCAACAGTAAGGCATACAGAATTAATATTGTCAAATATATCTTCACCACTCTTAAGTAATTCTTGTTTATTCCATAAAACTTATGTCATGTGTTGCACTTGAATATAGTTTGTATATGCTTACTTACACTTTGTCAAATCACATAGGGAGTTCAAAAAATTAGGAATATCAGTTACTGAAATATGGACATTTTTCATGTACCTATTACCTTAGTTATAATATGACTTGTGACAACTTTTTTTTATTTCATTTCATACTAGATAATATTTATAAGTAATGCAGGGTGTGGTTGAGCTATATAAATAACTAGAAATTACAGAAACGCATTTAAAGAAAATCTTGGTATACCTAAAATATTGTAAAAAGTCTTGAAACAAATTCAATTTTAATCGTATTATAATTGTTAGGAGAGGGTGGTAACACTAAACTCGACTATTTAACACGACTATTTGTTATACTAAACTGTATAAAGATTCGCACAGTAATGCCATATATCTAAATTAACGCTTATATCATTTTCTGATGATTTCAACTTATCGCATAATGAGTCATAGTACTGGATATCCCAGTGGCGTTTCTTACGGGGGTTGCTAACACGGCAATCCTACGGTTAGTTCGTCCTCGAACAGACGTAATATCTAAAATAAATAAAATGAGTAGTGTTTAAGGGTTTCTAATAGACGAATATAGTAGAATATAGTAGATACTTGAAATCTGTTATTCACTAAGGCCTTAATACCTGCAGCACTAATTGAAATTACTTTGAAAACACTGTCGGCCTTTATACCTGCAGTTTCTAACTTAAAATCACCGGAGGCCTTTATACCTGCAGTTTCTAACTTGAAATCACTGTAGGCCTTTATACCTGCAGTTTCTAACTTGAAATCACTGTAGGCCTTTATACCTGCAGTTTCTAAATTGCCATGACTATAGGCCTTTATACCTATAGGCTCTTTTTTTGTGTATCTTAACTTTAACTACATTTTAGGTTGCTAGAGGCCTTTATACCAAAGCATATTAATTTTATATTTACCTTCTTCTAATTTTTAAAGGTCAAATAGCTTAATGTCTTCTACATAATATACTCCTTAATAAGCTACATTATTTTTAGATCTCTTCGCATGGATATCTTCTTTAACTTTAGAGCGGTCATTAGAAAGAACCTCTATAATTTTAAATGGCCCTTTGTACTTTTCTAACAATTTCTTACTTTGACTATTGTTTGAAGAAACACTTGATATTCTTACTAGAACCAAATCTCCTACCACGAATGTTTCTGCAGGTTTTCTTTTCTTATTAAATATTTTTCTTCGGATTTTTTCATTTGCTTCTAAGTTTCTTTTTGCTTTTTCTCTTAACTCGGTCACATCTGAATTTGAATTTAAAATTTTGAGTTCATGATTGTGTTATCCTCTAGATGAACTAAGCGAAATGTTTGTGGCTGTTTTCGTGTAAAATTTAAGGACAATAAATATATTTTGTAATATTACAAAAAGTCGGAGAACGTATTGTATTAGTAACACATGCCACATAAATAAATATAACAACCACAGTGTGACGTTCTTTAATTAACCAAAGTAAGATCTAGACATGTAAGTAACATTAACAGTAGTCAGCTCTTGTCACAAAAAAAAAACAAGAAAATGGCTTCAAAACATTAGAAAGAAGATTTGATATAGGTAGAAAAATATCTAAATTCTCATTATTGAGTTTGCTTTTAACATTTTTAAATAAGACACCATTACACATTCGTTTAGAAAATAAGAATAAAAATGTTAATGTTACAAATAACGATCAAAAATTAAAAAAATGTTTGTCATGAATAGATATTTACAACAATTAATCAATAATAGACTGTAAGTATATTATGTATTTTTTTAATAAATAATTTTGCGTAATTACATTGTTTAAATTTATGCAACCTTTATTATCTGGTTTTTAAATATCCCGCTGCGTTGTTTGATATCAATAAAAGCGCCATATAATGAATCAGATGTTAAATGCGTTAAAGCTAGTCATTGTTAAGCATTGTATTCTTTCTGTTCTGTTCCGAACAATATATGTGTCAAATTGAAACCTGGCATTTCATTTCCTTGTCGTAAGTCTCTCTTTCAAGTACTACGTAACTACGGAAATATCGTTGACCCTCTAGAATTTTCTTTCTTTACTGCAGCCCTTCTTGGAAGTAGTTCCAATAGGTAAAGTGGAGCAAACCACTCTAAAACAAACTGGCGCCCGAGCATACCCTGTTCGAACGTCACAAGTGAGAGTATTTCTATCCAGTTAAGAAAACCTCTCACAAAAGTCTACACAAGACAGGATAAAAGATTACAAGGCAACACAATATAAGAAAAATTGTTTGTTGGAGAAGGAATAGTAATGGAAAAACTAAGCTCGTTGTAATTCTGTGTGAGAAGCTAAAGAAATATCGATACATTATTGTACAACTTTATGTATCCACTTGTGTCCAAAATTACGGAGAAAATTTTATTTTTAACAGGTTAAACCATCTTTATATCGCCAGAGAAATATTTAACGTTTTGGCAAAAAAATAATAATTTATATTGGATATAGATCAGTTATAGATTGACAGTCCGGCCTAATATAATTCAAAATAATAAACTATCCATGAGAAGAAGGTTTAGTGCGGAAAGTAGTTAAGAAAAAATTAAAATGAGTAATATCCTATTGTTTGTTTTGATTTCGTAGCAAGTTTTATTCTTTTTGGACTTGGCTGCATCTCGTAATAATGAAGACCTAAAGCAAAAAATATATATTTATTTTTATTTGCGAGATATGCCTATTATTGCCCTTATTTTGTTAGATAATAAACCTTTTTTTCTTGGGCTAAAGCAAATCACCATGGTCTATAGCTAGAATTGCTTCCGTAGAGATTGTGATATTTTCCCACAGAACTGAAGGTACTTATCGCACGTCCCGAAGAAATGTGTAACAAGTCCAAATAAGCAAATTTTACAGGAGAAGAGAAACAAATTTTGTTAGATTTTGAAGTTATATAGATTAAAGAAGACTTCGCGTAAGGCGTCTAGACTAAGTAAAGTTAAAATGTAATAAAAATGTAATATTTGTACTGCTAAAACAAGCTGATTTGGATAAGTTACAAATAAAGTTAGTGTTTACTTATTAAGTTATTTTGAGTTAGTACAGTTTTCATCTGAAAATTGGTGTTACTTTCGGGTTTGAAAAATATATTTTAAGCGAACTAATTTTATAAAAATGTATTAAAAGTTATTAAAATATTACATAAATAGCTTAGTTAAATGCTACAAAGACTCCTAAAATGATTTGTAGTATTTCGGAATGTATCCCTTCTCCAACAAACACTTTAAATCTTCACTTTTCTTATCAATTAGTTGACGTTTACGGTTATAGGCTTTTTTCACGTTGGTATTCCTGGCTGTTTAAGCTCATCGACTTTTTGTCTTTTTGTGTGAGGTCGTTTTTTTTGTAAAATTTCCACCGTCTTGAATTGGGGATCAGAGTACAAAGTTTTATAGAAGAATTTGTATGGTTCGTTTTTTTGAACTCTAACAACTCTTAAATCGTTTATTGTTAGCTGGTCATCTACTCAGAGTTTACATTAAAGTTAGATCCTAAATCAATCATTAATTGCTTGATATCCATAAAATCCTCATGAGTTAGTTCCCGTACACGATAGGGTTCTCCTTTTTTATTAGCAGTCCTTATTAATTGGATGAATTGTTCTGGAACGAAAATGGGTCCTGATTTTAAAGACCGACGAACCTGAAAGCAATAAATTATGAATAATATTAGCAAAAAAGCAGAGACGTAATGATATTAAGTAGACCCCATATTATAGGAAATTTTATGTCTTCAAAAAATTTCATTTTGTTGTGTTGACTTTAACTGCACAAAACTCAAAACTTTTAAATAAAAACCCGTTTTTTTCATAGCCTCTGGTGAAATGAGCAGAAGCATAATTTCTCTAAAAGTAATTATAAAAGTATTACCTGTTTTTCGATAACTGAATGAGTTGAATCCCCCTCATTTTGAGTATGGCCCATGACAAGAAACTTTTGTGTTATTTGTTTAATTTTATATTTTTGTACTGCGTAAATCAAGGCTGCTATCAAAAACCTGTAACAAAATAAAATATTTAGTACCAAATTAGTTTTAATGCGTATCTAGTATTCACCTGTTTTTTTGTTGCGCTGCACAATTGTCGCTATATAAGGTAATCTCCAAATCATCAGACTGACATTTTTCTGCCTTGTATTCGAGATAGAATAAAATACAGGTACCAACCTCCGTTACGCCTTTTCCACCCTCTCCTTCATGCCAAACAAAACACAAAGTTTCATCCTCTGCTAACCCAGTCACGGTTAAATTCATGGTATTAAGCTTAGATCTATAATAAAACACAGAAAGGTCTCCCTTAGGTACTTGAAAAACAGCTTGCATATCATAACAAGCAACGACAAACTTTTTGTTACACATTTTTTTATCATTTTCTTTCTCAGTTCTTGAGTTTTTTTTTTATTCCTGGTGTTTGTCATATTCCAATTTCAATTTTAATTTTTCCTCTTCACTAGCATGATCATAAATATAACAAAGGTTGCATTGGTCCTTTTTTGGTACATAAAAGGAAATATAAACTCCCTGTTAAATATATCCGAGAAAAGATGATAATTACCATAAGGTTTATTGGCAATTTCGCACTGCATTTGGTATTCCCTTTGCAAATCTGCTATTGTTTTTCCACCTTCAATATATTCTTTGTTGCTCTGAGCCCGCAAGTAGTGGCTTTCTATTCTCGGTATTGAGGCTATAAATTCTTTGATACCATTTTTAATATCATCATCTACTCTCTTATGCTTCCCATGTTTACCTCTTTTATCATCGCTAACAGATCCAGATATACTTTTTTGTATTACTGTATAGATAGTTCTAGCATTTATATCCAAGGTTCTCATAAAAAACAATTTACACACTCGAATTTTGTCTTGATTAATTTGAAAATAAAAAGCATTGTTTAATCTTCTGCTGTTAGGCTGTGGGTATCTGTAGTTTGGCTTAATCGACTCCATGTTTCTAGATATAAATTCTCGTTTTCTATTAATATCTATTAAATTGTAATACTCGTCAAACAATATTGATCGTTGCTCCTGGGTTATCCTGTTGATACATTTGTATTTGCATTTATCGGAGCAAGGTGGTTTTATAATTTTTGCTGCTACTATTCTTTTAGATTTTGCACAGGACGTATACTCTCTGCCCAAATTTCGTAAAATTTTGCTTTTTTCCTTAGTCCATTCTGATTCCTTAGGTAACCTTTTCCTAGTCTTCTTTGGTTCTGTACTTTCTGTAACTTTTTCTATCACATTTTTAACTTCTTGATCGTCTTGTGCAGTTGTAATTTGATTTTCCTTTAAAGGACGTGTGAGCATTTCAGTATTGCTGGATCTTGGAGAACTAGACGATGACGAAGATGAGTCTGATAAAGGTGTAGAGTCTGAGGACGAAGATAAACTTGAGTCGTAATCAGGATCTTTAACAGTATCACCTTCGTCCTCGCTAAAATACACTTTATTATCAAGAACCTCATTTTCTTTTGTTTTATCAGAATAATTGCTATTTACAGCTTCACTGCTATTTCTAGCTTCATTTTCTGAAGATTAAAAAAGATCGCTTATTTTGGGATGGTCTTCGGCTGGTTTATTCTCCTTGGAAGTTAATGTACAGTTACAAACATTCTTAGTACCCTTGTTAATGGTTTGATTTGGTTCAGGGGTATTAAGAGTCCTGTCAACCTCTTCTTCCTTATTGTCAGCTTTAAGAACCGCTTGCACCATTAATTTACCTCTTGACATGATATTAGCTGTAACAAAAGCATGTGCCGATATAAAAAATAAACATAACATAATAGAATTAGACACTTAAAAATTTTAAAATATATAGTGGTTTTCTATCGAATAGCCAAAAAATAACGAACATTTCAAACAAAAATTTGATATCTTTTACGAAACATTGATAGTTGGCTTTATAATATTCTGCAAATAAAAAACTCACCTTATAAGACTTCCTTATTCCTTTAATAAAACAATAAAACTGGATTAGTATCGTAATACGTCAAAATGTCCTTAACTTGAGGCAATATTAACGGCGTTAACACCAAAAATATTATTAAAAAACTTATGTAATATCCGAAGAAAAGCGTATCAACGCCGAATGATACAAGGTTCATCCGACACAAATCGCGACTGGTACACTAAATTTCCTTTGAAAACTGTTTTAACTACAAATAGTACAAAAACACTTAAAATGTCAATTATATTTTCTAAAATGTTCCGAGGAAAACCGTAATAATTTAAAATGGTACACTTTTCCGCGGAAATAAGTCCAAAAATAGGTATGTATTACGAAGAAAAGAGATATAACTACAAATGTTACACTTTTCCGGGGAAAAAGTAAACTTATATTTATTAGCCTTTTAACCGAAAACGTAATAACTACAAATGTTACACTTTTACGAGAGCGACACGAATGAACCTGTAACAATCCATTAATAGTACTGTTTTCTGCGGAACCCAACACCAAACGTGTTCCGACGAAAAGAGCTCTCGACGCCCTCTATCAAAAAATATTGGAATTATCTTTGTTACAGTTTTCTTCGGAGATAGATTATTGTTTTTACTACTCATTCGTAAAATAAACTGATTTTTAGAATTTTTTGAGTTATTACACTTTTCTTCGGGATGTGCGTTATGTTGGCCAAAGCCACAGATATGTGGTTTGTCTTATAAGTAATTTTTTACTGTTTGGTTTAATATAATCGCCAGTTCTATGCTATTTTAAACTTAATTGTACCGTATTGATGAAGACCAATATTCAGAAATACGTGTCTACGGTTTTCTACTTGGCCTTTTTTTGATTTGCAGGATATGCCCATTATTTCCTTATTTGATAAAATACTATCACGATTAAGTTTGTAGCACAAAAATTATACCAAACTTTTTGACTCGAATAGTGTTCTATAATTCATTTTGTGAAGTATATATGACCAAGGAACTGGAAAATTTTACATTAATTACTGATCACTATATATAGAAGAGGATGAAATGAGGTTTTTTAGAACTGTTTAGGGATATTTTAATATTGGGAAATTATGTTTAATAACCACTACAATTTTTCGGTATCTGCAAGAAATAAGATTGGAAAATCGACCTACTATATTCTGATCGGATCCCGAACTATGATGCTCGTCTCAGTACAGGAGAATTATAAAAACCTCTCCGTCAAGAACTCTCTTCTATTCTGAAGTACGTAACGCGAAACCGCTTAGAGATTATTCGGCACTTGAATATGATAATGTATGCAGGCATGGCAACAGGGAAGAGGAGGGAAGATTCCCATCATTCCCACTTTAACTACTTACCTACTCCATTGTGAAATATATTTGTGATAAAGCTTAGGCAAAGATCCATCCGGCCTACTCGACAATGACTTATTTATTAAAAGGAAAAAAAAATCGATGGGTTCAAGGAGCAGAAAAGTTGGGAGAATGAGGGAATGTAAACGGGGTGACAGACAATACTCGGTAGACGATCAAAAAGTTGAATAGAGATACAAGACTTTGTTATGCTGTCCATATCACTTTTAAATCGGGCGTGTGTGTAAAAGTTAAATATCGACCAAATTGATAGTAAGATTACAATACATTATTGCAGTAAATAAATGGTTGCCTCTCCAACTGAAATGTTTTTATAGCTACAGAAGTTAAAAAATACTTTTGCTTTTTATTTGTGCCAATAAATATATAATGTAGTGTATCATGTGTTGCCTATATCTACGTTATTCATAAAAAAAGGAGTTGATTTTAAAAGTAAATATCAACTTGGATAATGAAAAAAAAACATCAAACTAGGTACAAATAACTTCAAAATCATTTATTTAAAATAAATATTATTTTATTATATCTAATTTAAATTAGGCGACCGATAAAGCTGTCAAGTTTTCCGTTCAGCGATCAACAAAGCTGTCACTGCAAAAGCCTACTTTGGATAGTGGTCGTAGAAAAAGAAAATGTATTCCAATTGTGTAACGCAATCTGTATGATACAAGTTCCCCGTCCAGACTGAGTACGTACTGCGCATGGCCTCCGTTTAATGTACAGCTAACAAACGTATCGGGGTGAGGCCGTAGGACGCACACAACTAGGCAATTTGCCGCGCTTCGGATGCCCATTTACATCTGCATCCTGCATGCTCATGCGTCCTCGGCTTGCCTCATACACGTACGTGCTCGGATCTGTACCCGCCTTTAGGTGAAAGTGTTTCTAAGGTAACTACAAGAATAGTCGAGAGGGGATTCAAAGAAACCCGATGACTATTTCTCCTTCGTATTTTGAGTGTCGATAAGTCAAAGATGGTGTGTTTGCCAAGAAATTTTTTTATTGAAGAAAAACCTTTTTCTTATAATGGCTTCAGATATTCTGGGTAAGGATATTTGAAAACCCGAGGCTGCTGATCTAGCGGAAGGTTTTTTAATAGATTTGAGAAAGCCAGCATAAATGTGGGGAGCTAGAGCAGTCTATTAAGGAGTTCTTGATCAGCTTAGATGCGATGGCAGACATCTTTCCCATGTCAGGGATATTAAAATTCGTTTTTTTAAAGTTTATTTTATAAATTAGTTAAATCTAGAAATTAAAGTCTTTGTGTTAAATATATTTAAAATTCTTATTTTATGTTAATAACCTCTAAATGACTTATTAAAATGTAAATATTCTTCAGTGATTGGTAGAAAAAATATACTATACAATTTGTAGTGGTTTCTTCGATCGCACTCCTCCTATGTGGCGTTGTATTTAATCTTCTTCTTGGCCATCTTATCTATTCACTCTTATTGCACAAACTGCTATTTGACTTGCATAAATAATTAATCCACTTTTTGTAGATCGTATATTTTGAAAATATCATACGAAAGTAGGTACTCAGAAAATCCTATTACCATAATAATGTCAGTCTTTACAATAGTTACGATTTGAATTAAAAAAAAATCTGATGTGTCCAACACATGACTTTCCTATCTAGTTATTATAGGCTTTTTTCGGTTGTTTTGTACAACCTATTGCAGCATCTCTATAAATGTTTAGAGGATAAACTAAATATATGCATTGTCCACATACATCTACCTCGAAACATTTTTCTATAGATATTCATGGAAAACGAAAATACTGAAAAATTTAAATTTCCTACAATTTTTTCATTACGGTCCATTTTAGAAAAATCATGTATAAACAAAAATTATAGAGATCGATATCGCAAACAACTTTTATTTCAAAAACTTTCATAAAAATCAGAATTTTGCACATTTTGTCAAATTTCTCGAATACGGACCATTTCAGAAAATTTTTATATAAAACAAAAATTATAGATAATAATATTAGAAGTAACTTTTATTTGAACAATTTTTTTCTCCAAACATTAATAACAGATATATTCCATAAAATATAAAAGTGGCCTCCCATAAAGTACCCCCCAGATGTTCCGACTATGTCCAAATTCTAATCATTTCACGTCAGGCCGAAATAAAACTTAAGTTTAAAATTTATTGTTTTTTTCTTTATCCGTTTTTGAGTTTTCTTCAAAATTCGAAATTTACAGATTTTCTCAAATATCTCGAATACGGTCCATTTTAGAGAAATTATGTATAGAATAAAAATTATAGAGAATTATATTACAAACAACTTTTATTTGAACAATTTTTATAAAAAAATATTTTTTTTTACATTTTGTCAAATTTCTCGAATACGGACCATTTTAGGAAAATTTTGTATAGAACAAAAATTATAGATAATTATATAAGAAGTAACTTTTATTTAAAGAATTTTCTTCTCCAAACGTAAATAACAGATATATTCCATAAAATATAAAAATGATCACCTATAAAGTACCCCCCCAGATGTTCCGACTCTGCCCAAAATCTAATCAGCTCATTGGACGCTGGAACAAAGCTTAAGTTTAAAATTTGGTGTTTTTCTGTGTATCCGTTCATGAGTTATGCGTTATACAGACACACACACACACACACACAGACACACACACACACACACAGACATCATCGCGAAAATAGTCAAAACGGATTCAGGGGACCTCAAAACGTAAAAATCCGTCGAAAACTCGAGGTCGAAAAAAATCATGATTCCTATACTTTCCTTATATCTGTATACAGATAGGAAAGTAATAATGCACAAAAACAAATCGAGTAGGTATTCTCGAATGAATACCCATATTATTATTTGATATTGTTTTTGAAATAATAAAATTTGCATTTTTTAAAATAGTTCCGAGTTAAACTATAACTATTTCGATTTCAACAAAAAAAAGGTATATGCGAATTTGAATAAAAACTGGCATCGCTTTTTACTTTCCTATCTGTATACAGATATAAGAAAAGTATAGGAATCATGATTTTTTTCGACCTCGAGTTTACGACGGATTTTTACGTTTTGAGGTCCCCTGAATCCGTTTTGACTATTTTCGCGATGATGTCTGTGTGTGTGTGTGTGTGTGTGTGTGTGTGTGTGTGTGTGCGCGCGTGTGTGTGTGTGTGTGTGTGTGTGTGTGTGTGTGCGTGTGTGTGTGTGTGTGTGTGTGTGTGTGTGTGTGTGTGTGTGTGTGTGTGTGTGTGTGTGTGTGTGTGTGTGTGTGTGTGTGTGTGTGTGTGTGTGTGTGTGTGTGTGTGTGTGTGTGTGTGTGTGTGTGTGTGTGTGTGTGTGTGTGTGTGTGTGTGTGTGTGTGTGTGTGTGTGTGTGTGTGTGTGTGTGTGTGTGTGTGTGTGTGTGTGTGTGTGTGTGTGTGTGTGTGTGTGT